TTATTGAGCATCACCTCTTCATAGGTTAAACTCACTTGTTAAGTTGGGTGAGGCGACGATAGTAAAGGGCCATATCATACGCCATGGATTGGGACAATGGAAAAAGGTCGCGATGGAATCTCTGTTGACCAAATGGAAATTGTCGATAGGTTGATTAATTGTTTTGTTTGATACGGCTTATATAACACATAGCTGGGTTAAGCAAAGATGGATTCATAACGTTCCCAATGGTGTTTATGCATAAGTAATGAAACCAGATAGTGTTGTAGCATAGCTACGGACGATAATGTGTATGTCTCCCATTAACATAAATACAGTAGTAAATACTGTATGTTGGTCTACAGTTGGAGATTCATCTCCAGGCTGTGCTGGGCAAACACTCGACTTGTAGCCAGAGAAATCATTGTTATCCCAAAAAATTGTTACATAGAGAAATGTGCACGATCAAATAAGCAAGAATTATTCTTATAATCCAAAATATGTTTCGGCTTTAAAGAACCCATAAACGTTTGATAAGCCGTAAATGGAAACAAATCAATCCTTTAGTTAATTAGTTTTAGCTGATCCATAGACCGAGGTACTTGAAATTTAGTAATTCCGCATAAAAAAATACAGCGATATCCTGCCAATTGTTCAGCAATAAAATTAATTTCTAATTTCAAAAATCATGAAAATGCTCATACTTCCGGTTTGTTAATCACTTAGACAAATGTAATATAATTAATCCATTTCCTCTAACCAACTGTCATCGGTGTGATGTACGCTTTCTAGAGCAGAAACCTCGACACACCCAAGGGAACAGTTAATATGAGTTCCGGATGAGGATAGGTTGTGCTTTAATAGTATTGGGCAGTGGAAGCTGAATCACGGGCATTTCATAATTCAGCCTCTTTGAAGAACCCGGATATAGAGACGGAAGTTGAGCCGGTCATTAAACGGTGTTGGCAAAGGTCAATCCAAGTTCCGAGTGAAGCTTTCGTTGGCTAGGAATATCAGGCTCTCTGCAAAGAGTAAAAAAAGCAATGACAGATTTCTTGTAAGAAGGGTGTGTCAATCGACAGCAATTTTCATAGTTAATAGAGTCTTTTGAAATAGTTTCACCGATGACATCATTTCGTTTTAGTAATGTTTACCCAATACATGCCAAGAGAGCTACTCAAGGTAGAGGGTTACTGAATGATGTATAAGCGCCAGAAGAGGAATTAAGAAGAGCAGTTTATGAGTTTTTGTAGGATATCTGTTAAACCATCTTTAAGAGGTTACGATTTAATGATCGGGAAAACATCCTCTCGGGAGTCTGTTACAGAGGTAATTTCGTTTGGGAAGACTCTGTTTGAGGGGAACTTCATTACTAATACGCAGAGAATAAGAGGGATTCGTCACAATTTACGTGGCATGTCGGCTATTAGCTGCAATGGTCAGATTTCGTCGTACTAAAGAATGGGGCTGGTCCGAACATTTGACCTGGAAATAGCGATAGAGCAGCGAGAAACTTGTGATGTTTCGTGGGGAGGAAGGGTGAAAGATAATTCATCACCCACAAGTCCGCGGAGATACTTTTGAAATCTATCAACAGAGGCAAGGGAAGACTAAGTAGCTCCAGTCCAGAAAGTTGGAGAATAGCGGAGGTTAATCAGATACCGGAGCTGTGACATTGAACCAACAATTTAACAACATCTTTAACAATAAATCATATATGAATTCCACTTGATTGATTAATTCGTTTTTTACGGCTTATCGACCATTTGGAGGTTATTTAAAGCCAGAAAACGATTTTATATTGTGAGAATTTCATGGGTGATAATAATGATTTTGTGATCTTACTATTTAACCCATAACTGGTGGAGAAAAATGGATTCATAACTTCTCAAGGATATTTCCGTATAAGTGAATATACTGGAATTGGAACTCCGATTAAAAAATTCCGAGTCACTATTCATTACTCATTATGCCACCCGCGCATTCAAGCTAACAGTACCTGCTATCCCATAGAAAAAGACTGGCCAATAATAAACAGCTTCTTGGACGAACTCTATTGGAAAATTCATAATTGGAGAGCGTCGGTATCAAATACCGATGCCACATCATATCATTTAATATATCAAAGGCGATCAATTTTCTTTGAAAATTCAAGTAAATATTACTTGTAGGTGTAAACAAACAATATAGCAATGAGGAAAAATCACATAAGGTAAGATGTACCTTTTTGATTAAATTTCAATTGACTTTTAATAGAGAGCATTGATAGCCTAATCAATGCAGATTAGATGTAAAGTTGACGCGATTTCTAGTTACTGGGACATAAACACAATCTTCAGGCTATGGATGAAAGAGTTAAAAATATGAATGACAAACGTTAAAATTAGCCTAAATATTGCGTTTAAACGAATATATATATATATATATATATATATATATATATATATATATATATATATATATATATATACACACAGGTCGATTTGTTGATATAGTTGCAGTATAAACCACATATGGGCTCTGTGGGTGTTGAGCAAACACGAATGTGCCTACTAGACAGGTATCCTTGAATACGAGTGGCCAGCTATTATATATATATATATATATATATATATATATATATATATATATATATATATATATATATATATCACCTCAAAGCGTTATTATAGTGGACACTTCATATTTGAAACAATTCATTTTTTTATTAAACGGTGAGTATTATACTCATCGGCCTGTGCATTCGAAAAATCTTAGCAAGGAAAATATGCTCACTGGCATTGATCGAACCTTCATCCCACCTTTCAAGGAGAATATATATATATATATATATATATATATAAAATAAAGTAAACAAATTCGTTGGTATATAATCCAAGTGGATCCGAGTAATAAATAATATTAAAACTTATCCAGAAAAAGAGCTCAGTGTATTTATTATTACAGAGCAATATAATTAATAAACAATAAAATGTAAATTTACCTCATATGGGAAATAGCCTATTTCGGCAGACGAATATATCGGCCGTCTGTCTGATGAGACGAACTCAGCGTGGTCAATAAGACAGACGGCCTGACGAAATAGGCTATTCCTCAAATGTAGTGATTTTGTATTTTATTGTTTATTATATATATATATATATATATATATATATATATATATATATATATATATAGTGGCCTGACGATTGCGTCTAGCATGAAACAGCATGTTGCCTCTAAGTGTTGACTTCAATGTACACTTTTATATTTTTACACGCTCTATCTCTCTCTCTCTCTCTCTCTCTATATATATATATATATATATATATATATATATGTGTGTGTGTGTGTGTGTGTGTGTGTGTGTGTGTGTCTATGAAGCCGACCGAACGTATTGTTACGCGGCATGCATCCTACAGTAACATTGTCATTGTCTTTCCAATGTATCGGCCATTTTTAACATGCCAGCTTCCAATTTCCTATAAGAAATAAAACAAAAAGAAAAAAAATTGCCAATGTCAAAAATTGAAAAAAACCCTCAAAGTTCCAATGTCAATTCAAAATAACTATTTTAATCTCCTGCGATTTACATTACAAATAAAAATTCCGTTCTGAAATCCGTGGAAGTTGGCAGAAAAAACGTCATATGAAAATTAACATGGGCGCTGAAAGTCATATATTCTAATGAGTCACTCTTCTTTGCCCGTAAATATTTCTTTTTAGTTGTTTTTATTTTTATTTTTGTTATTTGCTGATCTCAAAAGAAGAAACACGTAAGTTGAAGCGTGTGATTGCTGGCTATCTATCATGTCAAAGAGACAGCCAGTCTGTCAGCTTATTGTTGTGAATTCTCCAACATTCAATCATGCTAATAGACGTTAGCGGATGTGTGGCACGTAGCCATGAGAATTGGTGGAAAATCTAGACTGTAAGCTAAGTTCAATATTTTATGATTTTCCGAGCTAATCCAGAGAAGCAATCATTAGCATTTCTTTGTTATCATTTTTTTTCCTAAAAAAACTTGTTTTGTTTTCCAATTGACTCTAAACATTAAGCCCATGAGAAAAAATAAATACAAGCATGCTGATATTACACACATGTATCCGTTTTGATCTAAACAGGAAGTCCCCAAGATGCGATAGCGCTCCGGTCTGACCGACTCGCCGTAAGTAGGTTTTGACCAAAGTCGATTATCCCTGCATTGGTGACTATAGCTCTCCACAACTTCCTACCTTTGTACCTTTTAACAATTTTTTTAACCATCCCTCACTTTCCTTTTTCCCGCCATCAATTTACGCGATCTCCTTGGGTATTTTTCCCCGCTGATTCCCTTTGCTCAACTTGCTTTCAACATGTCTTGTGAGTGTCAAATTATCTAATCATATTAAAACAATTTGTACACTTTTGTTGGGGTGCAGAATTAATTTAAACTTTTCAACTAGGAACTAATTTCAACTCGGAACTAATTTCAGCTTGGAATTAATTTCAACTCGGAACTAATTTCAACCCGGAACTAATTTCAACTCGGAACTAATTAATGAAAGTTGCAGAAAGATGAATTCTGACTTATCTTATCTACTAAGGATTTTTAATATTAAATTAAGAAAAATAACACCAACTCTCCATTTTGTTTAAGAATTCACGGAAATTGATAACTTTGATTTTAACTCGAGTTGAAATTAGTTCCGAGTTGAAATTAATTCCGAGCTGAAATTAGTTCCGAGTTGAAATTAATTCCGAGTTGAAATTAGTTCCGAGTTGAAATTAGTTCCGGGATGAAATGAATTCCGAGTTAAAATTAGTTCAGAGTTGAAATTAATTAGGAGTTGAAATTAGTTCCAAGTTGAAATTAGTTCTGTCACTCATTTTATACTTTGATGTTTGAGGTTGACACCTCCGATTCGTATTTTTTTCTCTTGCTGAAAACCATACATGATGTCCTTTTACAATTAATGCTTAATCCTTTCTTCCTACTTTCCGTTACTACTAAGAGGTGCTATAGTTTTACTTATGTGTCTGCCATCAACACAGTGCCGGGCTTACGACCACATCATGTTTAAACACTTGTTCCCGTATAATCACCGAAGTTAAGCTACATCGACCTTGATTTGTTCCCGGATGGGTGACCTCTTGGGAATAAAAGGTGCTGTTTAGATGTTGTTTGGATGTGAAGGTAGTGTAATGAATAATGGCTCAGAATTCTTTATCGGGGAACCGAGTTCGAATTCCAGTTGGGTTCGTTGTATTCACTTACGCTGCAATACCCTTGGGACATTAATGAATCCACCTTTTCTCCTCCCTGTTATGGGTTAATTAGTAAGACTTGTACCAATTGTAACAAAAATAAGAATATTGCGTACAGAAATTTAGATTTCGGAATTAAAAAACCTATAGGGGTTGATATGCCACTAAACAACCAATCCACCAATATAGTGTCATCTGTGTATCATATAATGTTAAAATTGTGCCCACTGACAGTAACTCTCGATAAGATTAACTTCGCTGTGGAGGTTGAATAAATCCTGTGAGAAGACACAACCTTGTCTTATGCGCCACCCCCTTTTATGTTTTAAATCCTAATGTCGGATATCATAGTATTCTTTTCGTTGCTATTTTTCTTAAAGTTTCCTCATTGTTCTTATGTTACTGTCCATGGTATTCTGTGTCGAAATATATCTCTGCATCAAGTCTCTTCATTATATTTTGGCTAATGTGCATCAAACAGAAAGTTTAAGAACCACTCATGGTAGAGTCTTATTTGAATGAGGTGTGTGAATATAGGAGTGGGAATTAAGAAGTGAGAACTTACATGTACATCGAAGATAGGTAACGATAAATTAGGATTATGGCGTTTGGGGAAGTATCCACACGGGAGTCTATTCCACAAAGCAGCGGTCATTAGGGAAAACATCTATCTGATGGAGCTTCCTCTTTACAACTTCGACTGGGTGTACACAACATGGCGGATCTTAGCTGTAAAAGTCTGAATTTGTGGAAGTAAATACTGGAACACATTCAAACATTTGTCCGGGGAATAACGATGGAGTAGAGAAGAGCCTTGCCAGATTGGTCCTGTGGGGAAGGGTTGTAGGAGGGGGAAAATATGCCATTTCCCACAAGGTCAGGTAAAACAAAAATGGAAAGTGAGGATTCGGCAGGTCCAATCCAGATATAGTAACAATACTCCATTTTTTTTTTATTCTAGTCTGACTCTTGTAAAGATAACGCATGCAAGAAGGTTCCAGTTATTTTCTGGGACATTACAATTAGTTGACCATTTTTCGAAAATCTTTAACAATGGACCGTATATATGAGCTCCACTTGAAGCTTGGAATGAAATTGAGTCCTAACAGACAGACAAAGCAAGAATCTTTATGGGAAGAGTAGCTGCACATGGTAACGAGAGGAAAATCCGGATATTTAAACTTACAAGGTCGTTTTCCCCCACTCATCGTGTCATGATAAATCTACCATCGAGCGCTTCACTGATTCTGTTTGAAGTAAGAGTTAAAACATGAACCTAGAAGATCACTTAATAAAATCCAAAGAAGAATCAGCAATATTATTGGTCCTTCCCTGGCATCACGGCTTCAGTCATCTTCCTCCTCCGTAAAGTTGCTTCCCTCTGCCTTTTTCTTTAAATACTTTCATGGTAATTGTTTGGATCAGCTTTTCGCTATGTTACGTAGATTTTTAAAAAAATTTAAACGCAGTACTAGATTGACAACAAGGTCTCATCTATTTAAAGTTAAATTGTCTAGGCGTAACCGTAAGTTTCTATATGAACAGTTCCTTTGTTTCCTGCCAGATTTGATCATCAAAAATGTAAATGATATGTCAATCCTTATCTACTGTCTTCCTGAAAACTCTTTTATTGTTCTCTCTCCTTAAGAATGATTCTGTTTTCTAATTCTTTTACCCCAAGTAACCCCTTGTGTCTTGGTGGCTTCACTGCCTTGCATGCCATGAAGTGAATTTAATTTTTCAAATATACTGTTTGTCGGCCTGAATGCTGCTTTTGGTGAGGTGATCAACAACGTCCTTTCTGATAAGAGAGAGAGAGAGTACGATGGAGATGACCATTCACCAGTCTTACTGAAGACACTACAAACGACTAATATTTTCCACAGACTTGAGAAAGGTTTCTCCTTCAGGCAGCGATTAAACAACTTTCTTTAGATTGGAGATTAGATTGAAGACCCAGTAGAAATTGGTATATGCTTATTCGGATGTCTTGCTGCACACGACGTCTCCATCTGATCTTCTAACTTCTTCTTAAATGAAGTTGTCGCAAAGATAGCGAAAGACAATGGAACAAAATAGCATTTATCTGGCTTACTAAATCGGTGTACAAATATTTAGATACTTATGTGAAATCCGTTCACAAACATTACTTGTTTATACCGCTGGATGGGGGCAATAGAGAACATAATCCCACAATGTCTTTTTCGTTTTACTTTCTTCTTCTTCTTCTTCTTCTTCTTCTTCTTCTTCTTCTTCTTCTTCTTCTTTTCTTATTTTTCTTGTTCTAATTTATCTTCTTCTTATTTTTCTTCTCTTTTTTCTTCTTTCTCTTCTCGTTCTTTTTCTTCTTCTTCTTTCTAGTTTTCATTCTACTTCTTCCTCTTTTCCTTCCTTTCTCGTCGTCTTCTTTTTCTTTCCCCATTTTACGTCTTTTTTCCTTTCACCACCTTTCTTCTTCTTTCCTTGTTTTTATGTCCCCGTTTTTTTTCTTCCTTATTTTTCCCATTTTTATTCCTTCTTCTATTTTTCTCCATTTGCACGTCATTTTTCTTGTCTTTTATAATTTTAATGTCTTCTTTTTCCTCGCTGTTATGTCTTTGTTATCTTCATTATCAAACTAATTTTTAACTCCTTTTTTCTCCTTCTTCTATAGATTAATATACTACCAGGATAGACATCATCATATCCAAATTATTATTCGATGAATTAAATTACAGCTGATTGATTTCACACTCCTTATATTTAATGTTTACGCATTAAACTGATCAATTGTCCATGAATAATTACAGCGTTTTCTCACTTATGTTTCATTTTATCGTTCGTGGAAAAACAGTAAGCGATGTGGTGACGTTGAATTTTTCGCAGCTGAATTATAATGTGAATTCATTAATATGGCCGTTCACATGTCATAACGCACGATTTGTTTACTCGGATATAATTCCCATTATTAATTATCATTTTTGTCTCTGGGAAACAAATTATTTGGTGTGTGTGTGTGGGGTGGGGGTGAAACATTTCTTTAAATTTTGAAGCAGGTAACAAATATAGATTCATTCTTTTTCAAAGGAAATGTGTCTCTCTATTTCAAGTAATATTTTTACTGACAGAATCTATCTATCTATCTATCTCAATCTGATCATTATCTATCTATCTATCTATCTATCTATCTATCTATTTCTGGGCGTATAGGATATATAAACACTGTTTATCAGACAAATGCTAAGGACATGGACCGCGCGTGTGAGCAAGGATGAGGTCTTAGGTTTCAAACAAGGAGCAGGCTTATACTCGACATCAGGAAGAGGTAGCTGAAGTTTCTGGGACACATAATGAGGAAGGAGGGCCTGGAGAATCTGATACTCACGGGTCGAATAGAGGGAAAGAGAGACAAGGGAAAACAACGCGTGACATATCTGGCGGGTTTAAGCAAGTGGGTGACAGAACGTGGTCTGGGGGAGAAAGCAGAAGGTAGGAACTTGTTGAGAGCTGCAAGGGTTAGAAGGAGGTGGAGAGCCATGATCGCCTACGTCCTGAAAGGACATGGCACATTAAAAGAAAGAAAGGGTGGGTAACTGAATGACCAAACCGAAAATTTCATTCCCCGGATTTCATTCCCCGTAAAGAACTTCTTCATTTCAAATAATATTTTTACTGATCGAATCATATATATGTAGGAAGAGAGAAAGAAATTTGATAAATGGACATTATAGTTAGGCATCGAATAAAAAAGGTGAAGATACAAGGACGTTTAAATTTAAACTTAATTCAGATTTAAAGTCATATGTCCCTAGAAGGACATATTCACATCATTCAGTTTTCAACCATTTTTGTTTCTGCTTGTATGCCCACTGTTTTTAAATATCCCACATTGTAATAATAGTCGGTATGTTAAGAAAGCTGATATGCTGTATGATATAATTTTAACATATATTTTTCATATTTCTTTCCCTTGACATTCTATATTATTCTAACATTAAAACGGTATTAAATCTGAAGTCTTCTCAAAGGACAAAAAAAAATTCTCATAGGTTTTTCTTTCATTTTGTCATGCCATTATCTATCTATCTATCTATCTATCTATCTGTTGTGGATTCCGAGATGAAATCTGGTCTCAAATGAATGACAAACGCAGGAATGAAATACAGCAAATAAATGTATTGACGCAATAATACAATTGGTAATACGGTTAGTAGTTCCAGAAATGCGGTTAGTAGAAATAATAATATATATAAAGTCCTGGAAATTTGGTATCGAAGTAGGACTTCCTTCTGAGTCGACGTGCTCGCAACTGTGACTCCTACAAAGCGGTTACCTCACTCTCTCACTGTATCATTGTATCAGTGTATCTCTCTCTATCTGTCTAACTTCCGGGTATTCACCGGCAGCAGTACAAGTACACACTGGCCGAGTCCACTTGTATGAAAAGGGGTGGACTCCATAACACTATCTATCTACTTCGGTCTGATAATATCTATCTCAGTGAATTCATATCTATCTATCTATCTATCTATCTATCTATCTATCTATCTATCTATCTATCTATCTATCTATCTATCTATCTATCTACTTCGGTCTGAAAATATCTATCTAAATCAATGAATTCATATCTATCTATCTATCTATCTATCTATCTATCTATCCATGGATATCATCCGTAAAATGTTTCTTTGGGTGTTTTAATCTTAGAGGTGTTATTATTCGGACACCAGCTATTTATCTATCTATCTACCCGAGAGGGTATCAATAATTTCGTAGTTTTAAAATCGAACCACGTATTGTTGAAATGTCTTACTGTATAATGTTCTAACAATGTGATTAATATTCGTCACTAAATTAAGTGCATGAGCAATGGAGGAGACTGTTTAAAATGGAATATTTGTTGTATAAATTTACTGATGTGGCCCCG